GGCCAGGCGGTAACCCGGGGACTCGGCGCCGCGGTCCCTGCTGGCCGCTGCGGGAGCGGGCGCGGTGCGTGAGAGGGAAGTGGGAAGGACGAGGGAAAGGGAAGGGGAGGGCGCGGGGACAAGACTCAGAAGAGGGAGGAAGAGACCAAGTGAGAATGGGTCGCTCTTCCCTGCTCTCTGTGGTCCTTGGATGGAGAGCGTAGCTGCCGCGAGCCGACCGTGCTGTGCTGTGCGCGCTGTTTGTAGTAACAGAACCCGGGCTGTGCTTAAGAGGGTAGACTGTCATATAGCCAGCTTAAATGTGTGGTGGATGTTAATGTGTTAACAAATACGGCAAGGTCTCCAAGACATACTAAGTGCAGAATAGTGTCTAAAGTATGATCCTCTTTGTATAAAGAAGAAAGGTGGGGGGCTGTTGGGGGAGAGACGTATAGACCTATACATACATTTGTGTATGCACAGAAAGTGTCAAACTCTTCGTATAAATCCTGGGGTTGGTTTTCCCTGGAGAATGGAGCCAGTGATGAGGATTTTTAGTTTTCATGTGTAGAGATTTTTACTTTTTATGTGTAGGTCAGCCGAGTTTCTCTTCACAAACATCAGGGTGCAAAAAATATGTAACTCTATTTTTACATTAACTTCATTTTTGTTGTGAGACTTCTTTTTAAAATCTTGAGTCAGTTCTGAAATTCCCCATTCCTTTCACCAGGGACTTACATAGCACAAAGACACTGGGCACACAGGCCATCATTCTTGATGCCACTTGCCTGCACTGATGTCCAGTGAAATATGCATTGTCCTTTCTGGTTCTGGATTTTGCCAGTCCCTTCAAGTCTTCTTGAAAGTGTTCTACGTTCCTGGCCATAAGCTTTTGCCTATTAAGGATTAAGTGATTGACTTAACATACTTATTCCTAAAATACTTAAATGTAAATAGGAGATAAGCATTTGTTCAAATCAGAGAGTACATACATTCCTAATGATGTAAATTCAAGCATTCCCTTAGGCTGGGCTTCTTAATTTGCAGTTAATGGAGATTCTAGAAGATCCATGGATGGACTCCCTCAAAATTGAGTGCAAAATAGTATATGCTCATGTTTTTCTGTGGAAAAGTGCCATAGCTTTCACCAGATTCTCAAAAGCTTCTGAATCCCACTGACTGGCATTGTAGCAACAGTGGTGAACAAGGCTAAAGGGCCTTGGTCCTCAGGAACTTATAGTCTGGTGGGACGAAAGACAGACGGACAGGCAACTACACACAGGGGAATGTGTTCTGTGATAGAGGGGGTACAGTGTTGTGTGAATGTAGAAGTACCAGACTTGGGGCTGGGTGTCAGCTGAGGCTCCTTGGAGGAACTGACTATTAAATTGAGGCCTTGAGAGTGAGAGGAAGGTAGAATTTGTCCTAGTACAGGAGGGGTTGGGGGAAAGGGGTGGTCTTGGTAGAAGGAAGAGTGTTCCAGGTATCTGCCTGTGCAAAAGCTGAGAGTCAAGAGATACTTTGGAAATTCGTAAGCTAAAAAGAGTTTGTATGGTTCAAGCTTAAAGTTAGATGGGAGCAGCAGTAAGAGATGAGGCTGGGAGATCAGAAGCCAGGTTCCGTGTGTGATGCTGGGCAGACAGAGGTGAACAAAACAAAGGAGCCCTGACCCTTGGGGAGTTTTATTTTAGCAATGAGAAACAGTGAACAAGTAGGAAAATAAGCTAACTAGATAAAATTTTTTACCATGATAAAATAAACAAGGTGATGTTGTAAATGGTAGCTGGGGTATGTATTGGGAGCTCCTTCAGGCAGATCTACATAGCGTATGCCACATGGATTGGAGGGTTGCAGCAAAGGTGGTCGCAGGCAAAATGGAGAGAGCTGGGTAGATTTCAGAGACTTTGAGGGAGAAGAATCATGAGGATTTCGTAGTTTACTGGATAATAATAAAGACAACAAATAACAATAGCTTCCATTTATTGAAAGCTTACTAAGTACCAGGTACTACCTTGAGTGCTTAATATATATTTTTTTCTTGTTTATTCCTGTAGCAACTCTGTGAGGTAGGTGTTTATTTCAATTTTGTAGGAAACTGCAGCACAGAGAATTTAAGTAACTAGCCCAAAGTCCCATCAGGATTCAAACTCAAGCCTGTTTTACTCCAAACCCCTGTAAGCAGAGGGGGCAGTGAGGGGGGAGTGGAATTGGGGAAGAGGTAGAAAAATGATAGATTTGGAATCTGGAATTTTGGGTACCTTTGAGTTATCCAAGTGGAGATGTCCAACAGGGGAATGGATAAATGAGTATGAAGCTCAGATGAGATCAAGGGCAAGGAATAAATTTGTGAGTTGTCAGCATAGAAGTGTTATCTGGAGCAACAGAGTGGGTGAAACCACCCTGAGAAAGTATATAGGAGGGTTAGAAAAGAACTCTTAAGGAGGATCAACCTTCACGGAATGGCAGAGAAGGAACCCCCAAGAAGGTGTGGTCAGAGTTGTAAGAAGAATACCAAGACAGTAGCCCCACAGAAGCCAAAGGTAGAGAGTTTCCGTGAGAGAATGGTCACAGTGTCATAGTCTACTTGAGAGATGAAGTAAGATGAGGACCAAGATACATCTATTCTTGTAGTAACAAGAATTCCGTTAGTTACCCAAGAGGACAGGCTTGGAGGAATAGTGGGGACAGAATCCCATTTAGTTGGTTGAAGAGTGAGTAGGAGGCAAGGAAGTTGAGGTGGTGAGTACAGACAGCTTGATCAAAATGTTTGTTTCTCTGGAGCTAAGAATCCAGAGTCCAGATTACAGGTATGGCCCCTGTGCTGAGTTGGGGTCATACCAATACCCCTTCATGAGAAGACATACTCCTTTCCTCCCCAGCCCTTGCTTTTCTTTCTTTTTTTTTAAATTCCCTGCTCTTAAGCTTTTCCTTACCTTTTCCCTACTCCTCTCCCTTAGTATACTCCCTATAGAATACTCCCCAAGTAAGTCCGTGGAATGAACCCAGCCCTAGAAGAACAAATATTGGTTGTTCTCTGCCTGCAGGTCACCGGCATTACCAGGAGGGCTACAGGAAAGATGTAGTCCCAGTCACATGCACTCCCAACACAGCCAGTTGCTCATCACCGGACTTTCTCTCCTTCTAGGCATACACTGGTTGGGATCTAGCCATGGAGCAACTCCAAGGGTGTGTGTCTACCTGCCGGGACATTCTTTCCTTAGAGAACCAGTGCCTGGCTGCACTTCCTGACCTGAAGACCCTGAAGACATCACATGGGCGTGTGTCTGCCCACTCAGACATCCTCTCCCTGGAGAACCGGTGCCTGGTCACACTTCCTGACCTGAAGATCCTGAAGACACCACGTGGGGTGTGTCTGTCCATTCAGACATCCTCTCCCTGGAGAACCGGTGCCTGGCCACACTTCCTGACCTGAAGACACCACATGGGCATATATCTGCCCACTCAGACATCCTCTCCCTGGAGAACCGGTGCCTGGCCGCACTCCCTGTGTCTGCCAGCCCCTTGCTCCGGTGTCTCCAGGTATCTCACCTGGTACAGACTGATCTGTGCAGCCTGAACACCAGCAACCACCTGCGCTCTGAGCCTCCAGCCTCAAGGGCTCAGTGCCTCTCTGAGGAACAGGGCCTCCTGACCTGCCCCAGGGCTTTGAAATCCGTCTCTGCTCCAGAGAAAGCTCAGGAAGCAGCTTTGGTAAGATCGCCCTTGGCACTTGTCTTCACTTCAGCCACGTCTGTTAGAGGCGCTAGGTGCTGGCTTTCGATGTCTGTGTACCTTCTGTCCTCAGAGCCTCTTCCCGAGGTGCCCTTTACCCGAAGGCTGTCTTCATCAGCATCGTTACTCTTATTGCATATCCAATTCAGATGTTCTGGACAGAGAGCAAAAACAGGTTTTGTTTTTAGAACACCTCTCCGCGGGAGGAGAGCCAGCGTGATATTGCTGTAGCAGTCAGTCTGGTGCTTTTGAGATCTTACAAGTCATGAGATGCAGCCACTACACCCTGGGTGTGCACATGGTGACACATGTCCACTTGTACACATCTGTACAAGCATGTTTAGTATACAGGTCAGGATCACTAGACAAACACACATTCCTTCTGTAGGACTGAGGGAAACGCAAATCTGAGCCCTCTACTATCTCTGCCAATTATAAGCCATTCAAACTTGGGTGAGACTCTTAACCTTTGGAAGCTTTAATTTCCTCACTTTTAAGATGAGGTCTGTGAAAATCTACCTCCCAGGGTCATTGTCAGGATTACGACTACCGCCATCTTACATTTATTTAGGGCTTTGTAATTTGCAAAGAGTCGTACACACATGATCCCATTTAATCTTCTAAGTGCCCCATCAGGTAGGTGCCAGGGGATGAGGAGGCTGAGGCTCATAGAGGGTAAGCTCGCGGTTGCTGGGGGATTGGTCTGGATCTTGGCCCTTGTTCTTCTGACTCCAGAATACCTTAATAGCATCTGAGGAGGTGTGTTGTGAGGGGTGCTAGGCTCCTGGGCTGTGATGTCAATAAGGAGATGAGAGTGGGGAGATCACGAAGCCCCTGAGCAGAGGCTCAGACGTTGATGTGGGAGAGGGTGCGTGTGTGACAGTGAGGGAGCAGTCCGCCAGGCAGGACGTGTCAGTGCTGGGGCGTGAGGGAGTGGAGCTTTGGTGCTGGAAGATAGGTGTGGACTCTTCCCGGGCCTGGGAGCTGCTTTCAGCTTTCTCTCTCTGTTTAGGGGGCTGTGGGTGCGTGCTGGGATTAATAGCTGCTGCTATCCCCAGGGTCATTGGTCTTCTGAAGAGAAAAAGCCAGAAGAGAAGGAATGGGCAGAAGCTCAAATGCCAATTTATAGTCTAAGCTTGGGAGAGGAGGAGGTGATGGAGGAGCTGGCCCTGAAGCTCACCCCTGGGAACTCCGAATCTTGTCCTGAGACTACTGACCAGGCCCTTTGGGAAAAGAAGGTATAAGTCCCATAGCTGGGGAGAGGTCGATGGTGGTGGAGGGGAGGGCTGGGGGAAGGTGGGAGGAGTGGTCACCAAAGGCTGAGCCAGATCCCCGCCACAGATGGAGGGGAAGGAGCTCTTATTTCTCAGGTCCTCACTCACTATTCTACCCTCTCAGCCAGACAAACATCTTCCTGAATCTGGGTTCATTCTCTCTGTCTCTGACTTTGTAAGTTGGCCTGAGTGGATGCTTAAGTTGGTCCTTATTACCTCTTTCCTCCTTTCTTCCCTCCTTCCCAATTTCCAGATGGTTCTAATGAGCTTCCTGTGTTCTACTCTGGCATCAAATGTAAACATGAAAGATGCAGTTTACTCTACCCAGATTTTCCTCCTTGAAGTTTGCAGTGAACTTGCCCCCTTGGAGCCTGAGTTTATCCTCAAGGTATTGTGGCATGAAGCTGGGGATGGGAGTGGGAAGCTAGGAGGTGGGGAATGTGGTTACGGTGTGTGAGGAGGATGGTGACCAGCTTTCTACTGGGGTGGAGGGACCTTTGCTGAGGAAGGTAGTAGGATCTCTGGGTGAGTCTGAGGCCTAGTCCCTGGGTTCTCTGAGGAGTGCAGGAAGATGGGATTGGGAAAGAGTAGGCTGGGGTTTATTTAATAAGCACCCAGGCTGAGTACACAATGCTAGGCCTTGGGGGTTATACCAACAGATATAATGAAACTTGGATCTGGTTCTTAAGAAGCCTATGGTATTGTTAGGGAAGCAAAAGTAACCCCAAATGTTATATAAATGCAAATAGAGGAGTAGTAGTGAATGTTTCAGAAGTAGAGAAAATAGGAGGGGAGAAATTGTTTTCCATGAGGCTTTGGAAGATGGCAGGGTAATCCAGCAGTTTGAACCCTAGGTAAGTTTTTGATAGATGTTGATGGTGGGAGGTCTTCCAAAGAGGGAAGGGCCTGGTTGAATTAGGAGGTGACAATAGACTTAGGAGAAGACATGCTGCGAAGGTGAATAAGGGCTAGATTGCGGTGGATGTAGAATGCCAAGCCAAGAGGCTGGACTTCTATTTTACAGACAATATGGCAGCTCAGGAGAGGCTTTATGCAGGCAGATTAGATAAACAAGTTAGTTTAGGGCACCGTGCTGTCAAGAAGTGGCTGAGATGCCAACCCTCCCTACCCTGTGCCCTAGGCATCTCTGTACGCCAGGCAGCAGCTGAATGTCCGGGATATGGCCAACAAAGTCTTGGCCATTGCTGCCTTCTTGCCAGTCTGCCGCCCCCACCTGCGACGATATTTCTGTGCCATTGTCCAGCTGCCTTCTGATTGGATCCAGGTGGCCGAGTTCTACCAGGTATGGCGTTCAGTTCTCTGAGCTTTGACTCTCACTTCATTCCCTCTCCTTTGCTCACTGCGCCCCTAGGGAAAATTCTCAGACACTGTGGCCTCTCCTCAGCTGTCCTCAACCCTGGTGCCCAGACAGGACAGCTTTTCCCACTACTGGGCTGGGTTTCCCAACAGGGAGAATATGACTGAGGAGGGCTGGACTGAGTCTGAGAAATAACTGGTGTTATTCTGGACCTCGTGTTTACTGTGAAGAGAGCGAAAATTTTGCCAACAGACTCAGCTCCACAGAGATGGTCACTGCAGAGCTGGGGCTTGGGTGCTCCCTATTCTGTGCTGTCACTTTACCCCATGAAGTGTTCTCTTTCTGTTTTGGAGGGTCTCACTCCTGGTGGCTTCTCTCTCTGACAGAGCCTGGCTAGCAGAGGGGAGGACAAGCTGGTGCCCCTGCCTGCCTGCCTGCGTGCAGCAATGACAGACAAATTTGTCCAGTTTGATGAGTACCAGCTGGCTAAGTACAACCCTCGGAAGCACCGGGCCAAGCGACGGCCTCGCCGGTTGCCCCGCCCTCCAGTCAGTCCCTGCCTCAGCCCTGGTCATTCACAGCCTAGGCCCCCTTTCCCTGGAAAGTAGGGGGATGAGGGAATATGCTGACCCCCTAGGGAGTCCACGTTAAGCACCTGACATGTTTCTATCACCAGAAACAGAAGGAGTCAGAGAAATGCACAGGAGCCGGGGAGAGCCCAGGGGGCAGAGAGGGCAGGGCAGGCTTCCCTTTTGGTAGAGATGGGCCTTCCGGGCTGTTGGGATGGGTCTCTCCAGGTGTCCCTTTTGGAAATGGCTTCTCCTGTCCCTACAGAAGGAGAGTTCATTCTCTAAGATGAAGCAATATTGGCCAAAGTTCATTCGGCCTCTTTACCGTGATCAGCTTATGGTGAGTGCCTTGTTCTGGGGTTCCAAATGTACAAGTCCAGTCTTTTCTCAACTTGGATTTAGAAATGGAATGCCATTTGGTTCAGAAACAGTAACAGTGGGTGTAGTAGGCACATGCCAGTCTCCTCCCTGGGGACCTCGCAGCTGTGATGGTGGGTTTTGAGCACGCTGGGAAAGGCTCCTTTTATTTCCACTTGGCTCTCCATAGTGTCATACTTTACTGACTGGTGACACATCCAGCTGGGTAAGTGAGTTAAAAACATTCTGATATGTCTACCTTCCACAGGAAGTTTTAAAAACAAACCAAACTTTTTTTTTTTAACTTTACTAACAAATAAGGCACTGCACTTAGTGGTTAAGAGTGTGGAATCTGGATTCAGACTACCTGGTTTGAATCCCGCCGCCACCACCACCACTTGCTGGCTATGCAACTTTGGCTAAATGACTTACCCTCTCCTGCCTCATTTTTCTCACATATAAAATGGGGATAATAGCAGTACCAACTTCACTGGGTTTTTGTGAGGATTAAATCACTTACTGTATTTAAAGTATTTCTAACAATACCTGGCACTGAATAAGTCACCATCAATGTCTTTAAAATTGATTATTAGGAAAATATATATTAATATTACAAAAAAACCCCACATCCTCCATTGGTCCAGTCATTTTTTCCTCTTCATCCTATTAATACATCCCAAACTTAGCTCTTCTGCCATAGAAGATTCTGGAATCCAGCTTCTTTCAGTTTAACTCCTCGCAGACTGCGTTGTGCTGATGCCTCCATTTACCTGTTCCACGTCTCCGTGATGTAAATAAGAGCTGCCTCTCCTGCTCCCTCCTGAGAACAAGGTGTTCTCAGTTTATTCTGTCCTCATCTTGTTTTTTCACAAGCCAGTCATCCCATGTTAACCATTCAACCTTGTGGAAGTGAAACACAGTGACCCCAAAGATCCACTCTGTTTTGCTTGCCATGGGAGCTCTTGTTGTTGGAGAGTTTTGTCCCCTATTCCTAGTCTTAGACCAGATCTACTTTGGAGGAAGAAATTACCTCAGAGGTAGAGGATGGTCTTGGTTTTTGTTTTCTGAAGAAAGTGACCATGTCCCTTGAATTGAATGGCCCCTGTGGGACTTGGGGATATTTCCACAGTTTGAGGAGGCCTACAGTGCAGTGTCAGTGGAAAAGAAGGAGCCAAGGTTCACCCTGAAGAAGCTGGTACAGCGACTGCACATCCACGAGCCTGCGCAGCACGTCCAAGCCCTGCTGGGCTGCAGGTGAGAAGCTGCACCCTGGGCACACACTCCATCTGGGTAGCCCCGACTCTTCCACACCCCTGGCCCCAATCCCTGCAGTTGGACCCCGGCAACATTAGTTTGGGCCAACGTAGCCTTAAACATGACTGGCTGGCTTTGACTGACTCACTTTTCCTTTTCTGAGTTGTTTTCAGCCGGCTTGGAAATGATAAGTTTTTCCCCCTCTGTCCCAGATACCCCTCCAACCTACAGGCCTTTTCTCGAAGTTGCCTTCCTGGGCCCTGGGATTCCAGCAGAGCTGGGAAACGGATGAAGCTCGCCCGGCCACTGACCTGGGAGCGGGAGCTGAGCTTGCGGGGGAGCAAAGCTTCCGTCTGGGAGGAACTCATAGGTAGAGTAACCTTGGCCGTCACGCTCCCTTCCTCTCTTCCCTGTTCATGCCTCTACATTTGGAACTCTGACTAGAGGATTTCCAGGGCATGGTGGAGTTATTCTCCTGCCTGGTAGTTCCATCACTGAAAGTGATTGGATTTATAGGTCTGCCATTGACCCCACCAAAGTGGGTGGTGCTTTGAGTAGCATTGGCATCATAGGTGGGTAATTCCAGACGTGGTTGGGTGAGCTCCAGGCCTTTATCAACACATGACAAAAGTGGTGCCTTCTCTCCGATTTCACTTGTGTCAGTGTCTGTGTAACTCATCCAAACAAGGTAGGACTGGTCCATGGCCTCTTGGAATCGCCACCAAAACCCATTTTTAGGACATAAATATTTTAAGTAATTTGCCCACACTGATAAAGAGAAGTAGTTCAAATGGGGAGGACCAGATCACTTTCAGTCTTCTCCTTATTTTTGTGCTAGTTTATTTTTAACCCTAGAAGGCTCTTTCTATTCAAGTTTTTCTTCTACTTCCTCTTTCATCTTTGAAAATTTAAAATCAACTTCTCTCTGTTGAAAAATACCTGTCTATAGGCTTTCTGACGGCTTGAGTTTTGTAGACTTCATATTTTGGAGCTTCAGAAGCCCAAGTTGGCTTTTACTTCTCTGTGAGTTGCCATTTATAGATTGTCCTCAGGGCAGCCCGAATTGCTCAGCTGCATATCAGTACTCTCACTTTGTGGTTGTCACTGGTGGCGTGTGTATCAGAATCACATGGGAACTAAAACACACACATGCGCACACATACACACACGTGCTTGACAACCTCTTCCTGAATGTTTGATACAACTTTGGGTAGAGCAGGATTACGAGGTCTGCATGGCAGCCAGTATGCTGATGATTCTGGTGTGCGTCATCTGCACTTCCTCACTCTTCCCCTGAACATCAGAACTGTGCTGTTTCTCTTGGTTGACTCAAATGCCCATAGTCTAATCCAGTGGTCTCCAGAGTTTTTTGATCATATATTGCAGAAACAATTTTTGGGATACACCAGAATATATGTATATGTATTTTTAAAACTTTTATACATGTACTAATAAATTATGTACTTTAGGAAATACATAAAATACAATTATATAAATATGGTATGAAAATAGAACTAAATATATATATATATAAGTATCAGATAAAATGTAATAGCTGTACAGACCCCTCTTTGGAAACCACAGGCTCATTAATAACTCATTAATGAATTTTTTAGAATGAAATCAGTGAATTTCTCAATCCATGGGATAAATATTCATTTTATTGTTTAATAGCATAAATATGATATTGAACTTAATTTATTTTCAGAATGCTCTAGAAAACCTTTCATACAGGGTGGGGGAGGGCAGAACTTAGTGGTAGAGCGTATGCTTAGCATGCATGAGAGCCTGGGTTCAATCCCCAGTACTTCCATTAAAAAAATAAATAAATTATAAAATATTAAGAAAACCCTCCATACATAGCAACAAGTGAGCAAAGCTTACGAATTGACCAAGGGTGCAGTAGTTCCGGTGTTGTCACACGTCACTTACGCTATATACACAACCTAACTGTTCTACACAGCCTGCAAATCAGAGTTATGACTAGAGAACCCCAGGACTTCCAGAAAGCTGAAAGCTTCTGGCTGTAATTCAAATAAGACTTACCTGAAAAAAGGTACCACCACTCTCCAAATAAAAGCTGCTGATGGTGATGGCTAGTGCCTGGGATGTGGGTGGGGGTCCAGTAGGCCTGGTCTCTAAATGTGTCTGAATGCGTCTCTGGGGGACCCAGGAAAAATATCACAACTCCTACTTATGTTTACCTGTATCTCAAAGAAAGAATTTTTCCAGTATTTGCTATACAGATAGAACTCTAGCCACTCAGTCCCATATTCTGTGGTTCAATGTCACATATTATAGTTGAGGTTCATTGAGGAAGCGTGGGAGATCCACAGCACAATGGAATTGGTGGTGCCCCCTCACTCTGCTTTCTGTACAGTGTGACTTATTGCAGCTTATCTTTGAATTGCAAACAGATTTAGAATTATTATTCAGTATTAACCAAACTAACCCTCTAAAACTGACATAAGCCTTAAAAAGTTTCTTGAGAAACTGTGACTTGAAGGGAATACTCATATCACAGGGAGAAGTGAAAAATAAAAAAGAGACAGAAGTGAAATTCTGCTTCAGTGCAAGTCTTTTTCATCTATCTTTAAATAAAAATAGTGACTGCTGAATCAGCTCTTACAGGACATTGGCCAAAACACTTAAGAATTATCAAGAAGACTATTTGAAATACGGAGTTACGTTCACCTTTACCTTATTAACTAACAAATATTAACTAATGATTGTACTACATACATGTAATTTATAACTAAGATTGTACTAGGAAATATCTCCAAAAATTCTGGAAGTCATTACTCTAGAGAACTGTATTTTGCCAGTTGAGCCCAATCTCAGGGCTGGTGCCAACAGACAAAGTGATAACCTAAGTTGTTTGTTGATGTAGCCAATCCCATAAACTGTAGATTTTGCTCCAAGCTCAGGCAACCCGGTTTATCTCTTTCCAGACCTTTAAAACATTTTGAGTAGGAAAGATCACCTGTTAGTACCTCCTTTCCTCCAACCTGACTATTCTGCATGGCCTCTGAGCTTCTTGCTCCAGTCTCTGACCTCTCTCACTCATCCTTTGTTTGCCTTTCTCACCCTGTGCCCGACCTTCCACAGACAGTGGGAAGCTTCCCTTCATGGCCATGCTCCGGAATCTGTGCAACCTGCTGCGCGTTGGAATCAGCGCACACCACCACGGGCTCGTGCTCCAGAGGCTCCAGCATGCCGTATGTGTGAGGGGCGGGGAGCCAGGCTTCTCCTGGTGGCTGGGGAAGGTCACAGCCACCAGGTTATTTCCTTGTGGGCTGTAAACAGGTGTGGAGGTACAGATAGGTCTGGAGTTCATCATCCCTTTGAGGAATTAGAATGTTAGAACTTTGCTTTTGATTTTCTGAGATAATTTCTGTGACTACTAACTTCAGAGGAAGTCTAATATAGAAGAAGCAGGGGACCTTCTATTACTTCCTCTCCTTTCTTTTTCACCTCCTCTCATATTCTCACATGACATCTTTCTTTCTTTTTTTTTTAATTGAAGTATAGTCAGTTTACAGTATTGTGTCCATTTCTGGTGTACAGCGTAATGTTTCAGTCATACACAGACATACATATATTCATTTTCGTATTCTTTTTCATTAAAGGCTACTGCAAGATATTGAATATAGTTTCCTGTACTATACAGAAGAAACTTGTTGTATATCTATTTTATATATATAGTAGTTAGTATCTGCAAATCTCAGGCTTCCAGTTTATCCTTTCCCACCCCCTTTCTTCTCTGGTAACCATAAGTTTGTATTCTATGTCTGTGAGTCTGTTTCTGTTTTGTAAATAAGTTTATTTGTGTCTTTTTTTTTTAGATTACATATATGAGTGATATCATATGATATTTTTCTTTTTCTTTCTGACTTACTTCACTTAGAATGGTGATCTCCAGTTTCATCCATGTTGCTGCAAGTAGTATTATTTTATTCCTTTTAATGGCTTAGTAGTATTCCATTGTATGAATATACCACAACTTCTTTATCCAGTCATCTGTCAATGAACATTTAGATTGTCTCCATGCATGATATCTTTCTTTATTCTTCTCCACCCTTCTGTAATATCCATTTCGTTCTTCCTCACCTTCCCACAAGTTTAGCAGAATGGTTATCTCACCTTCCTTGTACCTGAAGCCCTTGATGCACCCCATACTCCCTGATTCTCTGCTCATGACCCTGCTCTTTCTTTGCAGAAGTCGGTGATTCACAGTCGGCAGTTTCCATTCAGGTTCCTTAATGCTCATGATTCCATCAATGCCCTTGAGGCTCAACTTGAAAAAAAAGGTATTATCTCTCTTCTTCCAACTCCTGTCTGTCTCTCGTGTCTGAGAATAGATGAGACAGCAGCCCTGGTATTTTTCAGCCTCTTACCTTCCAGTGTCAGGGTGTGGGGCGGGCAGAGGTCAGACGCTGGCCAGCTCCCAGGGTCAGGACTCAGGACAGGTACTGATGGGAGGACAAGATGCGGAAATAGAAGCTGCCTGACTCAGATACTTCCCTGTCGCCACACAGCGTTGCCATTTCCTTCCAACACAAAACTGGTAAGGCAGATATTAATTAAAAACGCAAGATATGGCAAGAACTACTATTCCTGGCAGTCTTGCAAACCAAGTCGTCGGGAACTGCGGGCAGCCATGATGATGCCTGTGGTATACGATCAGCTCAAGCGGGCGAAGCTGAGACTACACAAGGCCAGGTTTGTGTGTGAGTGTGTGCTAGCTGGGAGCAGAAGGTGGGCAACAAGAGGCACCCAGAAAGAGCCTGGGAGTCATCTGGGAACCCCCGCTTTTATTCTGTAAGCTCGTGCTTGTTAGTCATCCCAGTGGCTGAGACTTGCCTGGGTCAGGTTGCTTGCCCAGCGAACCTTGTCTTTGACATTGTCCTAGGGAGAACTGTGAAACCGAACCTGTGTTTGGGCCTCCACTCTGTTATCTGTGCTTGTTTCACTGGTTTCCATGTACTCTGCCCACCTGTGTGGCATTTCCCTTTCTCTTAGTGCATGAGAGTGCCTCTCTGCTTCTGCTCTGGTTCCCACTTTTCTTTCTTTTTCTTCTCTGTGATATCTGTTTGTTTTTCTTTTTCTCTCCCTCTGTGTGTTTTCTGACCCATTGACTTTCCTTTTTCTTTTGATGCATATAAGGATAGTTATCATCAAACGGACTCAAAGTCATCATAAAACCTGTTCTGTAAGCTTGGTGAAGTCCCAGCACTCTGCCTTTTAGACATTTCCACAGTATCTTCATTCATTTTCATTTAAGACAAATGCAGGGTTCATCTGACCTTCTAGGAGGCTCAGTGGCCAGAACTTGCCAGAATCAGTGAAATAGTGGCTGAACACAAGCCATTAAAGAATTAAGCCGAGAGTGAAGTTCAAACGGTATGTCTTTGCTGGCTACATGTGGCTATTGAGCACTTGAAACATGGCTAATGGGAACTGAGATGTGCTGAATTTCGAGGACAGTGTGAAAAAAGATGTAAAATATCTCATTCATAATTTTTTGTATTAACATATTGAAATGAAAATATTTTTATATATAAAGTTAAGTTAAATGTAATATTAAATTATTGTCTAGGGGGAGGGTATAGCTCAGTGGTAGAGTGTGTGCTTAGCATGCATGAGGTCCTGAAGATATTTTTAAAAACAAATGCCTAATAATATGATACATTTTACTTTACCCTGCTGTACTTTACATATGTCTCTTAAAACAGACATTTTCTCATATAATCAGAATGCCATTAATATACCGAACAGAACTAAAAATAATTCCTTGGTATTACCGTTTATTATCTAGTCTATGGTCAAATTTCCCATTGTTTCAAAATATTACCTTTGAGTATCACAGTTTATTTAAATCAGGATCCAAATAAGGCACACACACATTACAGTTAGTTATTAAGTCTCTTAAATCTCTTACAATCTTTTAATTGTTTTCATGACATTGACTTGCTGTGAAAATCAGGTTCAAGGGGCCCCAGAGAATGTCCCACATTCTAGATTTGTCTGCTTCTTCAGTGTCATCTGATTTGTTTCTCTATTTCATGGACCCCGGGCATTAACCCTAAAAGCTTGAATAGATTCAGATTTAACTTTTTTTTTCTTACAAGAGTATTTTGTGGATGATCCTTTGTACACTATGAGTAAGACCACCAGAATTTTTGCCTCCTGATAGGGTAAACAGGACCAGGAGGCACAAAAAGTCCAGTGGTGGTGATTGATCCGTGCTTTTAAGTGACGAGAGCCTGATTTCTCCACTGTAAAATGAACAGTTTACCCATTGATGTTCTTGTCCTGAATCAATTGTTTCATTAGCAGTTACAGAATGAAGTTGTTTTCTATCATTCTCTGTATTTATTACCGAGAACTCTAATAAGAACCTCCCTCATGAACTAAAGCTATTTGGTTACTTTGAAATAGAGATTGTCTTGGAAAGGTAGGAGGAATGTTCAGTTCTTTCTCCTTTGATTGCCATTTTTCAGAGTAAGAAGTTAGCATTTGTTCTTTAAACTATACTTTAAAAATAGGTGGTAGTTAAATCTTGCCTCATGAAGTAAGTATGGCTTGATGTGGTAAGCATGGCCAGCACTTTCAGAGAGGGGGTCTACAAATGACTTCCCTCCAGCCCTGAGAATGGAATAGGAGGATCCCGTAGGATGGGGGCTAGGGGAAGCTGTGGCCCTGTTTTCTCTACTGACATCGCAGACGGGCTGTGGAGGGGGAGCGGGTGAAGACTTCATACGTGAGTGGCAAGTTTTCATCTTCCCATCTGCCTCAAAGTGGCAAACGGGGAAGCCCCTGAGCCCTCTGTCTGTATCTTTCCTGCCTGCAGACAGTGGAAATTTGACCGTGAGATGCTAGCTCGGTATCGACAGGCCCTGGAGACAGCTGTGAACATCTCTGTTAAACACAGCCTACCGCCACTGCCAGGCCGCACCCTCTTGGTCTATCTGACGGATGCGGGTGCAGACAGGATCCTTCCCAAGAGCAACCCACAAGGGGTAAAAGTATAAACAGGTGGGGGTGGTTGGTAAGATGCTGGGAATCCTGAGAGGCATCCTGTTCCCGACCTGAATCTCCCATGCAAGCCCTCAGGACTAATTGGCTTCCTGACATCAGATCTTGGTTCCTATGGACAATTCCTAGAATGTGGTCTCAAGCCTGTTCATGGATTATATCAGTAACTTTTCACATTTGGCTGGTCCTTAATACTCTCTAATTTCTGTCACCAAAATACGCATCACTTCCACCTCCTTACATCCCATTGTTGAATTTGGGCTGGGACCCTGGCCCTTCTCCACCTTCCTTCCCGGTCAGCTCTTCCTGGGGGCTGCTGAAGCTGTCCTTTCTTCACTGGGGACTTTGCCCACTTTTCCCCAGCCAGTGGAGATGTTGGCCCCCAGGGCGGGGTGGGCAGAGGTGGATTCTAAAGCAGGGGAGCCTTATTTCACTCTGATGCTTGTCCAATCAGCCCCCTCTGAACTACGTGCTGCTGCTGATTGGGATGATGGTGGCTCGGGCAGAGCAGGTGGACCTCTTGCTGTGTGGAGGAAGCACTGTGAAGGCTGTTGCGATTAAGGCAGAAGAAGGTATCCTGAAGACTGCCACAGATCTCCAAGCTCAAGTCCAGGTTGGACCCCCACCCCTACCACGCGGACATATATGAATGGACAGAGGCCTGAGAACAGCCTGATTAGTCAGGAAGGGCTTGGATATTCTCAGGTTTGAGGATTTCCCGAACAGACCGTAATGTTTGTCACTTACTGACCGTTTCCTATGCAGCCACATGACATGAGTCTCTTTCCTTCAGGAGTTGGATGAAAAGTATGAATGGTCCCTGCCTACTTTGGGGAAGCACTTGCTGTCCCTGGCTACCCAAAGGGTCCCTGTGAGTACTGCCCAGTCCCTGAGAAACCCCATCCTCCCCTACATTTTCCTCCACACAATGTATCTTATTTCTCAAAGCTTCCTTGCAAGCTATGCACAATACCCTGCTGGCTGTGACCCCTAACTCAGGGTATGCTGGGAGATATTTAACAACCAGCAATCTGGAAACATAAGTCTTAGTTAATAGCATTTGCTAATTTCCATGGTGTAAATACGCCTTCCATGGCTGATCTCAAGCTACCAACATGCTGTCAGTGAACACAGAGTTGGGAGGAGGTGCTCAGGAGCACACCTTTATATAGTATTCCCACAATATAGATAAAATAGATGTAAGTAACTTCAAGAGTAGATAATGGTGAAATGTAGTAAAATAATTAGGAAGTGATGACTTTTTAGTGTCTATTACCTTTGTGTTTAATATATTCAATTGTAATCTTACACAATTTAATATTTAGTGGTGGCCATGCTTAACAGCTGGCTCACAGAATTCCTAAAAGTTTGACAGTAAGTTCTTGTGAGCCTGAATGAGCCAGCTTCACACTATCACTACCTCAAACTCTATTTTTTATTAAAAATTTAAAAAAACTTTATATACTTTTTAAAGATTACTTTCTATATACAATTATTATAAAATACTGGCTATATTCCCTATTGTACAATACATGCTGGAGCTTATTCTTACACCCAATAATTTGTACCTCCCACTCCGCCACCCCTACATTGCCCCTGCCCCTAAATGGTAACCACTGGTTTGTTCTCTGTACCTGTTGAGTCTGCTTCTTTTTTGTTTTATTCACTAGTTTGTTGTAATTTTTAGATTCCCCAATATAAGTGATATCATACAAAATTTGTCTTTCTCTGTCTGACTTATTTTGCTTAGCATAATGCCCTCCAGGTCCATCCATGTTGCTGCAAATGGCAGAACATCATTCTTTTTTATGGCTGAGTAATAGTCCATTGTATATATACACACCTCATCTTCTTTATCCAGTCACCTGTTGCTGGGCACTTAGGTTGCTTCTATATCTTGGTAATCCCACACTCCACTTTGATGCCCTTCAAGTCAGGGTATAGTGGCTTTTTGCAGCTTAGGTGCTCTCAGGAATGGCCGTTTCCACCCGCCACAGAGTCCTCCTGATCCCCTAGTTCTGAGAGATCTCTTCTCTTGATGTCCTGAGCTCTTTGCCACCTCTGCTATCCCTCTGTTCCTGGTCTCAGCCCCTCCCCTTTTGTCTTACAGGTGGACAGGGTCATCGTCTTTGGCCAAAAGATGGATGAGAAATCGATAAATGCGGCCAAACAGCTTTTCTGGCAGCATGTGAATCCCAAGTGCCTCTTTGTTGGTGTTCTCCTGAGAAGGACGGACTACCTGTGAGGGCGCTCGCACTCCTTCCCCGGTGCCAGCGGAGAGTGATCCGTGTTTCTTGCCTACCCTACTAAAGCTCAGGACACTCCTACTCGCCAGGCCCCTCTTTGTTTCTACCTCTTACCTCTGTTGTGCTTCAAGTGCTGGAACTTTCCCTGAAGCCTTCAGCCTGGCTCCGTACCCCTTTGTGATGGTCTGCCCCAGTCCCAGCCTAGCACAGAACCCTAGTAAAAGTGCAGAGGTGGGGTGTCCATCTTGGAGTGTTAGAGGCAGTGACTCTGTGTTCTTGGCACTGTTTTTGACCAGTAGTGACTGCTTCTTCCTTTGCCAGATATCAAGATTTGAATCCCAATGACGTGACTCTCTCAGGCTGTACTGACGGGATACTGAAGTGAGTACAGGATGGACACTGAAGAGGCTGGGGCACCTTCTGTCTTGTTGCTCTACCATCCTCAAATATTCTCCTTCTACCTCATAGTTCAAGATGGCTGCTCCAGCTCCGGCCATCATTTTTGTATTACATCTAGTAGGAAAGGAGAAAAGGGGACATGGGAGATTGTACTGTTTGCTTTTAAGGGAATAACTCAAAGAGTTGGTCACGTCACTTCTGTTCATTCTCTGTGGCCTCTGTTCCCATTCCATTTCAGAGGAAATCCTTTGTTCACTTTATTCAATTATGCCAAATCCAACGAAATCTTTTAACTTTCTCTTTCTCTCTACCACTAGGCTTCCCATTTACTTGTTTCCTCCCCTGCCTTTTCCTTTGGATGCCACACATTGTCCCCCACTCCTGTTAGGAAGCCTCATGCACTTCCCTGCTTCTCCAGGGAGCTTTCACGGCTGGTACAGGGCTGATCAAGCCCAGACTGGCATGACCTTAATTTGTATCCCTTCTTTCAGCCCAGTTGCCCCTGGCCCAACAGAAAGCCTATAATAGCCATGCACACAGCAGAAGGGGCTGTGACTGGGTTTCTTCTCTGTCCCTTCATTCCTGTGGTTCTGCTGTCTCGCTGATATCCAGTCTACACTTACTGTATATTGTCAACTTGTTAAGCAGCCCCACTTCACTGGGTGGCCTAATCTAGCCATATCTTTGTCCCCGGCCCTCTTGGAAGATCTTCCTGAGTCTCCGCTATTTCTCTCTCACTTATTTTGTCGCTCTTTATGTCAGGTTCATCGCAGAGCGTGGGGCCTCCCGCCTTCTAGAACATGTAGGCCAAATGGACAAAATATTCAAGATTCCACCTCCCCCAGGAAAGACAGGGGTCCAGTCTCTCCGGCCACTGGAAGAGAGTACTCCAAGCCCCCTGGCTCCTATTTCCCAGCTTGGGTCAGTCTGTGTTTTGGCCTTTGTGAGTTGGGAGGGGCTTCTGTTTGAACCTGGAGAAATGGGTGCCTGCGGTTCTGGCTGTTGAGATGCTGCTGCTTGTATTCACTGAGGTCTGTGTCCTCTTCCCCAGGCAGGGGTTTCTTGAACACAGGAAATTGTCTGATGGTGAGCACACACCCCCTTTCTCTACTAGGGAAAGGGGGTTAGAATGTGAGGTGGGCAGCAGGCACTGGGGACATACAGCCAGGGCTCAGGCAGAGGGCTTCAGGGCGCAGGCTCTGGCTCTGCCATCCTGGCTCTGCCAAATAGTCGCTTGAAACATGGGCTAGTTGCTTGATGTCTTTAGCTGTAGTTTCTTGACCAGTAAAATGGAGATGATGATTGTGCTCACCTCACAGTGCTGTCGTGAGCATTTCACCGGCAGATAGTAGGTGCATAATAATTATTGCTGACACAGGACGGGTGCATGAGACATGGCAAGTGGGGTTTAATTTCCAGGGCCCTGCAGTTGAGGTGCTAAGCAGGGTATTCTGGGCCCATGCTCAGTGCAGAAGAGCAGACACAGCCCCATCTGTGGAGCTGGGCTGTGGGGCTGACCCCTAGTTTGCCCGCAGATGGCGCAGCATCCGGCTTTTCATTTCCTCCACCTTCCGGGACATGCATGGGGAGCGGGACCTGCTGCTGAGGTCCCTGCTGCCCGCACTGCAGGCCCGAGCGGCCCCCTACTGCATCAGCCTTCACGCCATCGACCTGCGCTGGGGTGTCACCGAGGAGGAGACCCGTCGGAACAGGTCACAGGGAAGAGGGGCTGGGTCGCGGCTGAGGGGCTTGAGAGGTGGAACTGGTGTGGGCAGGGTTGGGGCTGCGAGGATGGCTGAGGGCTGCGGGCAGGGGGTTGCTCCTTGGATGCTGTGGGCTGTGAGCCAGGACTCCATCTCCCTGACGCGGTGTCCCCCTAACCATCCTGCAGACAACTGGAAGTGTGCCTCGGGGAGGTGAAGAACTCGCAGCTGTTTGTGGGGATCCTGGGCTCCCGCTATGGCTACGTTCCCCCCAGCTACAGCCTCCCTGACCATCCTCACTTCCGCTGGGTAAGTCAGACAAAACTGGAACAGGATCTGGGGAGGAAACAAAGGTTGGGGTGGGGGTGAGAGAAGCCAACGTGTGTTCAGAACCCTGGGACTATGCACAGGCAGACCCTTGGGACTTGAAACAGGCAGATGGTTCTGTGAGTGACCAAGTCCTAGATGCGGGAATTCCTTTGAGAGATACCTGTGGCTTGGCTCTGGGATGTGAGAAGTAAGCGGTAGGTCTGTTTAGGTTTTGCTATCAGACAGCCGGGTTCTGATCTCCCTTCTGCCATTGTGAAAAACAGTTTAGAGTAATCTAGCCTCAATTCTTCATATATTGAGACGAAACAATGACATCTATGTTGTAAGGTTATTGTGAGAATTAGAAATCTATTTAAAAAAATGCTCAACCTGTCATAGGCATTCACTGAACGTTGAGCTATTAGCTGCATTCTGTTGGCTTGTGTCTGGAGGGAGAGAGGCGCATTACTGAGATGAAGGGGCCCTGGCGTCTTGGCAGGTCTCACGGAGGGGCTAGTGTGACCAGCACTAGCATGCCTGCTCTCTGTCCTCTCCTTGCAGGCCCAGCAGTACCCTTCAGGTCGCTCTGTGACAGAGATGGAGGTGATGCAGTTCCTGAATCGGGGCCTCCGCCTGCAGCCCTCTGCCCAACCTCTCATCTACTTCCGGGATTCCAGCTTCCTCAGGTACCTTCTGTTGCCTCCAGGCCTTGGTCTCCGCAGAAGGCCAGACTGGCTCAGTGGACATGTCTTCCCTGCCCGACAGTCAGAGTATCAGAGGGGGGCTTGGAAGAGAGAAACAGGGACCAGAGAGCTTGCCTTGCAGCACCAAAGCAGCCTTGTAGCTGAAGTCGGGAGATCTCCAGTTGAGTTTCAGGGAATTACAGCCAGGTCTGGTGGTTGGAGGTAGAGAGAGGCTGGGGTCTGAGTCCAGCCCCACTCTTGGGGTATCTTTGGTGGTCAGCTCTGTACCGGATGCCTGGAAATCTGACTTTACTTCTGAGTCTGAAGAGGCTGCACTTCGGATCTCAGAACTGAAGAGCTACCTGAGCAGACAGAAAGGGATCACCTGTCGCAGGTGAGCTGGGAGAGGGGGAGCGCACCTGCAGGGAGAGATGGGAGGGGGGCCAGGCCTGCTCTGACTGCTTGGGCTTGCTTTGCCCACAGATACCCCTGTGAGTGGGGTGGGGTGGCAGCTGGCCGGCCCTACGTTGTAGGGCTGGAGGAGTTTGGGCAGCTGGTTCTGCAGGATGTATGGAGTATGATCCAGAAGCTTTACCTCCAGGTCAGTAGGAGTGCTGGTGGCTAGGGGAGTGGACTAGGGGAGGGTGGTCTGGATAGTCCTGGGCGAGAAGTAACTTGGTGGGAGCTCTGTGAGTTTTAGGCCTGGGGTCCTGAGGAGCACGGAAACATAGATATTCACTTCCCCATGTGCCCTCAGCCTGGGGCCCAGCCAGAGCAGCCAGCATCCATCCCAGATGATGACGTGGTTCAGGCCACCTTCCAGCAGCTGCAGACCCCACCGAGTCCTGCCCGGCCGCGCCTTCTTCGGGACACAGTTCAGCAGCTGATGCAGCACCAAGGGGGCCTGAGCCTGGTGACCGGACAGTCGGGACAGGGCAAGACTGCCTTCCTGGTACAGTCTCAGAGGCCTGGGAGGGAGGGACGGCTGTGTGAGCTGAGGAAGGCTAAGGAGGTGGGGCCCAGGGAGCTTGTGCGTATGAAATGTGACCATGTTTTCTGTCCTCTTCCCATGCAGGCGTCCCTTGTGTCGGCCCTACAGGCTCCTGATGGGGCCACAGTGGCCCCCTTAGTCTTCTTCCACTTTTCAGGGGCCCGCCCTGACCAGGCTCTTGCCTTCATCCTGCTCAGACGCCTCTGTGCCTATCTGCATAGCCGGCTGCAAGAGCCAAGTGCCCTCCCCAACACCTACCGGTGTGTTTCCCCCCATTAGCCCAGCCTTGTGGGTACCACGTGGCACCACCCCTGCTGACCCTGGTCCTTCCCTCCATACACAGGGGCCTGGTGTGGGAGCTGCAGCAGAGGCTGCTGCCCAAGGCTGCTCAGTCCCTGAAAAGTAGCCAGCCTCTGGTGCTGATCATCGATGGGGCTGACAGGTTGGTAGACCAGCACGGGCAGCTGATCTCAGACTGGATCCCAAAGACCCTTCCCCGGGTGAGTGTGAGAAGGAGGTGGGGGTGGGATGCAGTAGGGAGGAGAAGGGCCTCTCCAACAATGTTCTCCTCCTTTTCCTTCTTCATCTCTTACCCTGTTGCCCAAATACCCCAGTGGGTGCACCTGGTGCTGAGCGTGTCTAGTGATTCAGGCCTGAGGGAGACCCTAGAGCAGAGCCAAGGTGCCCGTGTGGTGGCCCTGGGGCCCCTGGAGCCATCTGCCCGGGCCTGCCTGGTGCGAGAGGAGCTGGCTCTGTATGGGAAGCGGCTGGAGGAGTCACCTTTTAACAACCAGGTTGGACATAGGCCAGGGCTGGTCGGTGTGCGGGGTGTGTCTGGGAGCTGGGAGGACCCTGGGACCAACTCCTCCACTTTCTCAGGAACTCTGTGCCAGGGGAAGTTGTTAATAAGATAACTGTGATTCTCTATATAATTATATCACCCAATCCTTTCCCCCGGTGAATGGCCTCTCCAGGGCCTGTCTGGGCAAGGTGAGGAGGAAGCTGTGGTTGCCAAGTGGGGTTGGCCGAACCCTGGCGTTTCCATGAGAGCAGGGCAGGCTGGGCAGAGCCATGTAGGGAAGGGATGGCCGTGTCCTGAGGCAGTGCCATGGATCTCTGCCCTGGTGGGGGCTCTCAGAGGAGACACTGCCCGCAGTGGGATTAGTGCCGGGGTGGAGGGCAGGGCGGACGGTTGGCTGTGGGCAGGCTCTGGTGCTCGCCCTGAGTCCTCTGAGTCTCATCAGATGCGGCTGCTGCTGGTGAAGCGGGGCTCAGCCCTGCCGCTCTACCTGCGCTTGGTCACTGATCACCTGAGGCTCTTCACGCTCTATGAGCAGGTCAGTTGAGGATGTAAGCCTCACTCCTCAGCCAAATCCTAATCCTGCTTCCCATTCTCCATTCAGCCTCTTTCGTCCCCGTCCCTCACTTTCTCCCACCCTCATCCTTTGCCACCTTGTGATCACCCTTCCCCATCCTCACGACCCCTCACCCCGAGTTTTTCTTTCCTTTTCCTCCCTTCCCACCGCTTCTCCTGCTGCCCCTCCCTGACCACAACCAAAGCTGTGTTTCCCCATCCGCTCATTGACCACAGCCCCTCCTCCTCCTCTCCCAGGTGTCCGAGAGACTCCAGACCCTGCCTGCCACCATCCCCCTGCTGTTGCAGCACATCCTGGGCACCCTGGAGCAAGAGCATGGCCCCGATGTCCTTCCTCAAGCTCTGGCCACTCTTGAGGTCACACGCAGTGGTCAGTGCTTGGAATGGGCTTGGGTTGGATGACCTTGGTTGTATTTGGGTCTCAGCAAGCAGTGCAAGGAGGGACTAGGTGTCGTGGGGATGGGTGCGCTGTGTGGTTTAGGGCCTCAGAGAACTTGGGTTTTCAGGTCTGACTGTGGACCAGTTGCATGGAGTGTTGAGTGCGTGGCGGATGCTGCCCAGGGGGCCCAAGACCTGGGAAGAAGCAGTGGCTGCTGGTAACACTGGGGACCCTTACCCTATGGGCCCGTTTGCCTACCTCGTCCAGAGTCTGCGCAGGTACGGGTGCCCCCAGCTGAGCTTCCACTGACTTCTTGTGTCTCCCTGTCTTTGAGCCAGGGCCCCATGTGAGCCTCTCTTCTTCCCCTTCCCTCGGGATAGCCCCGACACCTGTCTCCTAGACCCTGAATGGCTGTCACTCAGGTTGCCACTGTTTGAGGTGGGAATGGGAACCCACAGCTGTGCCAGGATGCTCACTGACAGGACTCTTCCCTCTTCTCTGCTGCCTTCTCCCCCCAACACGGGGTCAGGTTGCTAGGGGAGGGCCCCCTGGAGCGCCCTGGCGCCCGGCTTTGCCTCCTTGATGGGCCCCTGAGAACAGCAGCTAAGTGTCGCTATGGGAAGAGGCGGGAGCTGGAGAAGATGGCGCACATCCTCATCGCAGGTGACTGCAGCCTTGTTAACCCCGGGCGCTGAGCACAGGGCCTGGGCCTGGAGGCCGGGGTCACCCACTTGGGGCTCCCCATTGGCTGGCCCCTAGCCACCCCAGCGGGTGGGTGGCTCTCTCTGTAGCCTGAGGGATGTGATCTTTGAAGATGCTTCAGGGCCCAGTCCGTTTCAAGTCTGTTCCTGTGACCCACACCTGCAGCTCAGCTCTGGAAGACGTGTGACCCTGATGCCTCAGGTGCCTTCCGAACTTGCCCTCCTGAAGCTCTGGGAGACCTGCCTTATCACCTGGTTAGTCCCCAGATCCTATAGGCAACTTCTCCCAAGGAATGGCTTTTGGCTGTTCTGCCGTCTCCTCTTTGACCACCACCACCATTTCCACCACTGTTAACCCCTCCACCCAAGCTCCCTCTACCTTTTTCCTTTCGGTTTTCCTGCCTTCCCCCTTCAGGTCCTTTGTCCCAGCTCCTACGACTACATCTTGGCAGCACAGGCAGGGTGCAAGACTGGACTGTCCCCCTCACCAGCCTCATCACATCCCTAATGAATCCAATCTGACTTTCTCAGCTCCAGAGTGGGAACCGGGGCCTTCTTGCAATGTTCCTCACCAGTCTCCACGTGGTAGCTGCACACTTGGAACTGGGCCTGATCCCTCGGCTCCTGGAGGCGCATGCCCTCTATGGTGAGATGAGTTACTGAGTGGCATCTTCTCTGAGCTCTGGGCTCCTGGGAGTGTGGGAGGCCTGCTCAGAGCGAGATATAATAGAAAGCACACTTGAATTTCTATTCCAAACTGAGAATGCCAAGATGCTAAGCAAGTGATTCTTAGGAGACCTTTTGCTTAAGTCTCTTAAACCAGCGGTTCACACGTTTTATTTAGTGGGTGTAAAATTACTTGGGAAACTTGTTTAAATTGCTAATCCCATGGTCCCCAGATTCTGGTTCCCTAGGTCTGGAGGGAGGCCCAAAGCTTTGTACTTTTAAAGGATGTTCCTGATGTGGGACCAGAGGGCCACACCTTGAGACTTACCATTTTAGACCCATCATATGGTTGACTTGGTGCTGGGGTTAATGGGGGTCCCGCTTGCTCCCAGTGACATGGTACCTCTCTTCTATAGCTTCCTCAGTCCCCGAAGAGGAGCAGAAGCTTCCTGAGGCTGATGTTGCTGTATTTCACACCTTCCTGAGGCAGCAGGCTCCAGTCCTCAGCCAGCACCCACTGCTCCTGCACCAGCAGGCCGCCAACCAGCCTCAGGACTCGCCACTTTGCCGCCAGGCCCGCCAGCTCTCCCAGCGATGGCACCTCCAGCACACGCTACGTTGGCTTAACAAACCCCAGACCCTGGGGCGCCAGCAAAGGTAAAGCCCTTGACCCCAGATGCTGGCAAGCCCACCAAAGAGCACGCTGCAGCCCTCTCTCAAACTGGAGGAAAAAAGAACAGACTGGAATCACCGAGAAGAGGGGGACTCAGGCGCAGAAATGCAGAAACGAGTTCCTGTCCGCTTCCTGCCCCCTCATTCCTCCTTTCCTCCCTTTCTTGCTGTTTTTCCCCCAGCTCCAGCCTGTCCCTGGCACTTTCCTCAGCCCCCACGGCTGTGGCCTTCTCCCCCAACGGGCAAAGAGCAGCTGTGGGCACTGCCAATGGGACGGTTTACCTGTTGGACCTGAGAACCTGGCAGGTAGGGCCCTAGACAAGTCCAGCCCAGCCATTAGCACCTGCTGGATTCACAGCCTTACTTCCTTCACATCAGATCTCAAGGGCTTGGTCAGAAAATCCTTCCCGCTGGAAATATTTGCTGTCTCCCTTCTACTCAAGGCACCGTACTAAGCAGAGCAAGGAACACAGAGCTTAGGACATTGTCTGTGCCCACCAAGCCTCAGTTTTGTTGAAAGTTAAGGCATACAAGGTGAAAAAGGAACCAAAACACAGCCATGTGACGTAGGTGAGAGCTGAGTGAGCGCTTACCGGAGGACGTAGGTTGGAGATGGGCAGGCATTCCGGGCTGAGTGAGGAGCCTGAGCAAAGCCATTGGGGAAGGTTTCCTGTAAACTGCTGGGGATGATCACAGCAGAGGGGGCTTAAGGGAGGGTGGGAGAGGTTAGGCTGGGGAGGTGGGCCCACAGTCACAGCCGCTCTCTCCTTGTCCACCCGTATCACCCCCCCCATATATATGCATGTGTATAGTGTCATTACTTCCACAGACCCATCAAAATCTGTGACTTAGGGATACATACGGGGTTTGAAGTTGGGGAGAAGATGTGACCTCACTTGTATCATGAGGTCCCACTTGAACCTGAGCTTGGCCTAGGTCTGAAGGGGGCCCAAAGCTTTGCACTGGTAACAGGTGGGCCCAGAGGGCCACTCTCTGAGATGCAGGCAGGGAATGTGACGGGACAAGGGCCCAGCCCTTCTTGCCATTGCCTCCTTCCTGGTTGGGCCACGGAGTGGCTGGACACGGGGTGGTCGGGGAGCACCCTGAGTGTGCTTTTCCTGCTCGCTGTCACAGGAGGAGAGGTCTGTGGTGAGTGGCTGTGATGGGGTCTCCTCTTGTTCGTTCCTCTCGGATGACACCCTCTTTCTTACTGCCTTTGATGGGCTCCTGGAGCTCTGGGACCTGCAGCATGGTTGCCGGTAAGTGCCACTCCCCACTTCTCTCCCCGCCCTGCCCTGTGTCTCCTTGTTGGAAGCCCAGGGGAGGGGAGAGGGGAGGGAGCCTGTGGCTCTGACGCTGTCTCCCTGGGGTAGGGTGCTCCAGACCAAGGCTCACCAGTACCAGGTCACTGGCTGCTGCCTGAGCCCAGACCGCCGGCTGCTGGCCACCGTGTGCCTTGGGGGATGCCTGAAGGTAACAGCCGGGGGCCGGGGGCCGGGGGCCATGCAGGTGGAAGTGGCCCCACGCGGAGTCAGCCCTGTGAGGTTGCTCTCAGTGGGGCAGGGGCTCTGACTGCTTACCTGCTGAGGGCAGGGGACTGGACCAGGTGGCCCCTGAAGCTCTGGGACGGAGACACTCAGGCATCTGTATTCAGACTCTGATTCCTCCTCCCTTTCTCGCTCCTCCAGCTGTGGGACACAGTCCATGGGCAGCTGGCCTCCCAGCACACCTGTCCCAAGCCCCTGAACTGCATTGCTTTCCACCCAGAGGGGCAGATTGTAGCCATTGGAAGCTGGGCTGGCAGCTTCAGCTTCTTCCAGGTGGACGGGCTCAAAGTCACCAAGGTGAGAGGGGCCAGTAGCCCTGGAGGAGGGAGCACAGGAGGGTGGGAGTAGAAGGTGGGGAGTGACAGACACCTGCATCCTGTGTCACTCTGGGTTTGGGTGGAGAGCAGGCCCTGACATTCCACTTTCTACCTCCCCACGCAGGAACTGGGAGCCCCGGGAGCCTCTGTCCGTACCTTGGCCTTCCATGTGCCTGGGCGGGTTGTGGCTGTGGGCCGGCTGGACGGGATGGTGGAGCTGTGGGCCTGGCAAGAAGGGGCACGGCTGGCTGCCTTCCCTGCCCACCGCGGCTTTGTGGCTGCTGCCCTTTTCCTGCGTGCGGGCTGCCAGTTACTGACGGCCGGAGAGGATGGCAAGGTCAGGTGACCGAGGGCTGGTGGTGGGCAATGAGGAGGGGGTGGCAAAGGTGTGGGGATATTTGGGTGAGGACGGGGCCTTTGCTGGGGAGACTGGGGGAGCTTGGCTGGTGCGAGCTACAGGGAGAAGGGTGTGGGTGTGTGCACAGCAGCTCTTGGGAGACGAGAGACAAATCTGGAAGGAGGACTTTAATGGGGGAGGGGTGGGGCAGGCTGTCTTTAAGGCCCTTTCTTGGCCCTCAGGTTCAGGTGTGGTCCGGGTCTCTGGGTCGGCCCCGTGGGTGCCTAGGTTCTCCTGCTCTCTCTCCTGCCCTCTCTGTGGCTCTCAGCCCAGATGGTGATCGTGTGGCCGTTGGGTACCGAGCAGATGGCATTCGAGTCTACAGAATTCCTTCAGGTACCAGAGGGAGAAGGGCTGGAGTGTTTGAGCTTTGGAAGGAGCCCCCGTGCCCACCCCAGCCCTCTTCCCAAGCATCTTACGCTCTTGTCTCTCATTCTCTAGATTCCCAGGAGGCTCAATGTCAAGCAGTAGACGTGGCAGTGTCTGCACTGGCCTGGCTCAGCCCTAAGGTGTTGGTGAGTGGTGCCGAAGATGGGACCCTGCAGGGCTGGATGCTCAAGGGACACTCCCTTCAGGCCCTCTGGCTTTTGTCCAGACACCGGAAGCCCGTCCTGGGACTGGCCACCTCCCAGGAACTCTTGGCTGCTGCCTCAGGTACGGCTGGCCAGCAGGCAGGGTTGTGAGTCACTGTTTATTTTAAATAAGCTAACATCTGTCTTCAATTTATATGTATGTGTGTACATGAAAATACGCACCTATATAACTTTATTTTACAATTTTAAAGTGCTTTTAAAAGCATTTATCTTGCAGTCACTTGAGACTGTTTCTTCTTATTCTTTAACCCTGATTCTGGGACCTCTTTGTAATCCTTGTGACCCTTTGAGTTTCTGCCCAGTAGGAGATTGTGCTGTGTCGAAGGATGGGTTTCCCTTAGGAGGGGAGAGAGAGAGATGTTGAGGTGAAAATGTAGACTGGCCTTCTTGTTCCCTAGATAGGAGGCACTTTAGAAGAGGAAGGGAGTGGGGTGCAGTGGGGAGTTAGAAAGAGACAGCTACAGAGCCAGAGCTGGGAGTGCCTGGCATTCCTGTCCTGCGTCCTCACAGGATGACTGACCCTTGTCCAGGGCGTCCCCACAACCTGTGACTCACAGCGTCCCTCCCTTGGAGCTGTGCCCTCAGACATCATCCTCAGCCCCCACGATCGCCTTTGTCTTTGACCTCCCAGGCCGGTCTCACTTCCTCTTTCAGGACATCTTCCTCTCCCCCTTTTTCCAATGCAGAGGATTTCACTGTGCGGCTGTGGCCCCGGCAGTTGCTGACACTGCCACAAAAGGCAGAAGACTTTCCCTGTGGCACTGAGCTCCGGGGACACGAGGGCCCTGTGAGCTGCTGTAGCTTCAGCACCGATGGATGCAGCCTGGCTACCGGGGGCAGGGATCGGGTGAGCCGCAAAAGGATGCAGCCCCTGTGCCCCGTCCACCTGCTCCCCCAGACACTCTGGTCCAGCATTCCTGATCGTTTCCTGCTGCTTCCTCCGGCTTTTGCTTTGTCAAACCTCCTGTGCTGGATCTGTCCACCCTCCTTCCTTGATACTCCCTCTTTTCTTGAAACTTCTCACCTACAATGGCCCTGGTGTTCCTACCTCCATCCTGCGGTCCTGACGGCTCCCTCTCTTGGGACCCACCAGAGTCTGCTCTGCTGGGATGTGAGGACACCCAAAGCCCCTCTTCTGATTTGCTCCTTCTCTGCCTGTCACCGAGACTGGGTCACTGGCTGCGCCTGGACCAAAGACAACCTCCTGGTGAGTGAAGGGGCGGGGGTGGCACAAAGCTTAGCAGGGTTCCTGGGGAGGACAGCACTCCCCACCCCATCCTATTCCTAACCCTCATTTATAATGTAGTATTATATGGCATTAATATAATTTTCCAGCACCCAATATAATAGCTAACATTTTTTTACCACTTAGTATATGCCGGACACTGGGCTAAGCTCTTAACATGTATTGCCTCATTTAGTCTTTACAACACCCTGTAAAGAGCTGTTATCTCTATTTCATAGACATGGATGTTGAGCTCAGATAGATTAAAGACCATTTCCAAGGTCATGTAAGGGAAGAAGCTGAGCCAGTAGACTTTCTCATAAGAAAGCCTATGCTCTTAACAAGAACACAGAACTGTCTCTGCAAGAGCTTAGGATGCCCTGTTCCTGCAGGTAAAGGGAACTGCTGCGATTTCTTTGCTCCTAAAGCAAAAATGAATCTCAAATTATGCCCTCAGGGATGGTGAAGCCTAATTTCTGATACAGGGTCTCTGTTGTTCTCAAAAAGAAATAAGAGTATCAGTTTTGAATAGACTAGTCATAGTCTGCCCTGCTCCAACTTCTCGGCAGCCAGATCTTTTCATGGTGTTGCAGACTTTTCATCTTTGTTTCTTGACTGACACTACGTTAGTAACAAGGACAGTAGCTGCTCTTTATTCAATGCTCACTGTGTACCAGGCAGCTTGCTAAGTGCTTTACATAGATGCGTCAGCCCCCATCAGAAGGTACACTGTCATTATCCTGGTCGAATAGAAGAGAAACCTGAGGTCCAGAGAAATGAACTTGCCCTAGGTCACAAAGTAATGAATGGTGGCACTAGGATTTGAACCCAGCATGGCCCTTGCTCTTCATCACAAGTCTTACTGCCCTCCACCCTATGGTGGTAAGTATACAGAAATGCTAGAGGGATGCTGGTAATTCGACTCCTCTACCCTCTGATTCTGAAGGTCTCCTGCTCCAGTGATGGCTCTGTGGGGCTATGGGACCCAGAGTCCAGACAGCAGCTCGGTCAGTTCCTGGGTCATCAGAGTGCCGTGAGCGCCGTGGTGGCCGTGGTGAGAAGGCGATGGGGAGCTCACCGGGGGTCTCTGGGAAGGCTAACGGGGGTTGGGAGACTCGATGCACTGGGTATTTAATCTCCAAAGTGAAAGAAGTATAAACAGTGCGATGCTTGCATCTGGATTAGAGCAGGTTTAGGGTATTGAGACTGAGAGTTGGTGGGAGGGGAGGGAGAGCATAAAAACACAGCATGTCAGTACCACAACCCTGTGGCAGGGTTGTGGTCCTGACTCCCAGCCACACTGTCCCAGGGTTGTCCTCATTCTTTGACATCTTCTAAGCCCTGAATGCTCAGCCCACACCTCTGTGAGGGGAGTCATAATTCCCATGTCCAGCTCAGTGTGACTCTTCTCTGATCCTGTGCTCTGGGGCAGGAGGGGCATGTGGTATCTGTCGGCCGGGATGGGACCTTGAAAGTGTGGGACCATCAGGGTGTGGAGATGACCAGCATCCCTGCTCACTGTGGACCCATCAGCCACTGTGCGGCTGCCCTGGAGCCCCGGACAGGTAATGACGTGTCAGCCGCCTTCCCTTCCCCGCTGCTTCTTCCCGTCTCCCCTTCTTCTGACTCAGTCCCTGTGTCTCGTCAGCCGGCCAGCCGGAGTCGGAGCTTCTGGTGGTGACTGCTGGATTGGATGGGGCCACACGGTTGTGGCACCCACTCTTGGTGAGTTCCCCGAGAGGACAGGGTGGGGAGAAGTGGAGAGGATGTATTTGGGACCGTCTGACCTGTCAGCTCCCCCCATTCCACCTCCATCCTTCCCGCCTAGGTGTTTCAGACACACACCCTCCTGGGACACAGTGGCCCGGTCAGTGCGGCTGCTGTTTCCGAGACCTCAGGCCTCCTGCTGACCGCCTCAGAGGAGGGCTCCATACGGCTCTGGCAGGTCCCCGAAGAAGCAGGCAAGTGAGGCGTAGAGAGAGGCAGGGTGTGAGGGGGGGTGTGTTAGCGGGACCAAGATGACCAGGTGTCGCCTGATATCCTCCTGTATCCCAGCAGTGGTCCAGCTCCTGATCAGTCACTTCCTTTCTTCTCCAGATGACACGTATATACCCAGGAGTCCTGCAGCCATCACTTCTGTGGCCTGGGCCCCAGATGGTTCCGTAGCAGTGTCTGGGAATCAGGCCGGGGAACTAACCTTGTGGCAGGAAGCTAAGGCTGTGGCCACCGCACAGGTGAGTTGGGTCAACCCCAGTCCTTTGTTCATGTGAATTCTGCCCGGGCTGTGTGTCTGATGATCTGTGTGGGGTTAGAGGCTGCATAGATGGAGGGGAAAGAAGGTTCATCCTAAGTCCTCAGAAATACTGAAATAGACTTGTATTCACTAGGCTCCAGGCCCCATCAGTGCTCTGCTCTGGTCCTCAGCACACACCTTGATTGTTGTCAGTGCTTATAACCAAGTCAGCGAGTGGCGAGTGGTACTCCGGATGGATTCAACTCCCAGACATTTCAGGTGAAATGAGGCGGCTGGGTTAATGGATATAATTACACCTGCAGTTTTGCTCAGATTACCCTTCTCTACTTCTGAACTAGGTCAACAGGATGTTAGTTAGTAAGCAGGATAAAGTCCCCTGCGAAATTGTTTTCTGCTCCTGGTCCTGTCAATTTATTTAATAATTATCAAGTGCCTACTTTTATGCTAAGCTCTGGGCCAGGCAGTATGAACCAGATTGGAATTTTTTAATTGAGGAAGCTCACAGTAGAGAAATGTGCATATAAGTAAACTGCCAACAATATGCAGAGTGATTACTGCTGTAACGAAGATATAAATATAAAATTCCTGGGGCTGCAGAATATAAGAAACTTACTGTTTATGAAAGAGTTGCTATTTGAGGTTGTGCTTAAAGGATGAGTAGGAGTTTTTTGGACCAGTAAGGGCAGAGAAGGCAGCATTAACAAAAGGCATGGAGGCATGAGAGTGCATGGTGTATTCTGAGTCTAGCCAAGCCTTTGGGTTCTTGGTGGGAGTTGGGGGTGGGAGGTGGGGAATTAGATTGAAAAGATAAAACTGGGGCCAGGCTGTAGAGGGCACAGGGTTAAGAATTTTGAGCAGAATAATTACCTGAATTTTAGAGAGAGAACGCCAGTGGCCAAATTAGGGTGGATAGTAGTAGAGGGATCCTAAAGGTACAGCTGTTGCTATAGCCCAGGGAAGACACAATGTGGGTTCTGACCTGGGCGGTGGGGATGAGAGGAGGGGTAGAGATTCAGGCATATGTTGCAAACAGAATCCATAGTGCTCATCGATCAGTAGGAGGTCAGGAGGGAAGGAAGGGACAAGAATGTGAGAGATTCCTACTTTGCACAAGTGAGGTGATGGTATGATAAATGCTAATGTCAGAAAAGCAGGCAAAGGAACAGAATTTGCAGTGAAAGTGATGCATCTTGTTTTATACTTTACTACTGAGGAATTCTTGGGGAATTGAGGTGCCTGAGAGAGGCGAGCTAAAGTAGGATCTGTCTCTGTCCATGTACCTTTTTTGAGCTACAGTCTTTACCTGAACCAAGTTCTGCAGGAGGACCTAGGGTTCCTGACAGGTGTCAGCCTGGCCCCTGATGGCCACTCCCTCATCTTGGCCAAGGCGGATTTGCAATTACTGCACATGAAGCTGGGGGATGCTCCCTCTGTAATCTGGTAAGATCCAAAATGCTGTTTCCTCTCAGGCTGGAGAAAGAGGAAAAGTGGGTTAGTGGTTAACCTGAGGTTGGTCCTAAATTAGAACAAACACTGGGGTCTTGCAGAGAAGGGTTCCTGGGTTCAGCCGCTTTCTTTCTTGTAAACCAGGAGCAGCTATTCAGACCATCCTATGATGCTGTCCATCCACCAGGACTATGGTGTGTTTGTCCTGCAGTCAATGCACCTTAGAGTTTTTTCTCTCTCAGTAAGTTCTGTTTGTGTGTGTGTTAAAACAAATATTTGTTCAGGATCACTATTTTAAAGCCGTGGGGCCATGATGGAGGATAAGAAGAAGGAAGGGAAAGGCTCCCAATCTTCTCTTCCTTCAGCTGGAGCAGCTCTGGTTCAGAGCATGCTATAATGGGTTTCCTTGTAAGATGTCATTGATACAGAAAAGGATTCTAGTGTTTAAAAGAATCATGGGAGTGGGGAGGGTGTAGCTCAGTGGTGGAGTGCATGCCTAGCATGCACAAGGTCCTGGGTTCAATCCCCAGTACCTCTGTTTAAAAAAATATATAATAAATAAACCTAAATTACCTCCCTCACCATAAAAAGTTTAATTAATAAATTAATTAATTAATAAAAAAGAATCATGGGAAACCATAAACATAATTTTCTTAATTGCATTTTTTTCATGTCTCTCTTGTCTTGCCACTGTATTAGCAGTATTTGGACAGTACAGACATATCTCATAGGCATTATGATGGATGAAAGAAGCCAGACATAAAAGAGTATATATTACATGATTTCACTTAAATGAAGTTCAAGAACAAGCAAAACTAATTTCTGGTGACAGAAGTCAGAATATTGTTAGCTCTAGGGGTGGTGGTACGCTGATGTTAACTGGGAAAGGTTATGAAGGCAGCTCTCCAGGGTGATGGAGATGACCTGCATCTTGATCTGGGCAGTGATTGCATGGATGTATACATGTGTCAAATTTTATCAAGATGTCCATTTAAGGTTTGTGTACTTTCCTGTAGCTAGTTTACCGCTTAAAAAACTCCTGACCAGCCCAGAGCAGAAAAGAGTTGCTCTGTCTGGGCAGCAGTAATTGCTATGAATAGGCAAAACAAAATGATCTATCCTTTCACAGAGGCGAAAGGAATCAGGAGAGTTGGAAGAGTGCATGGAATTTAATCTGAATTTAGAGAATCCTAGTAAGACCCTCATATCGGTAACTCAGGCCAGACCTGAATCTGGTGAGTGTGGATGGGAGGGCCTGAGGAATCTGGAGATCGCCTGGGGGAGGAGAGTGGATCCTTCGAAGCCTGAAACCTAACTCTGCCCTTGAAATGGCAGAGTCCTCATTTTTGTGTGCCAGCTCTGATGGGATGCTGTGGAACCTAGCCAGATGCACTGCTGAAGGAGAATGGACCACAGATAATATCTGGCAGAAAAAAGTAGAAACTCCAGAGACAGATCCATCTATACCTACTGACATATGGCCAACAGTTCCATCCCTAAATACACGGCAGTGCAGAAAGGTGAGTTTGAGGGAAAGGGCACAATACTGGGGAGGAGGCTCTAGGTCCGGCCCAGCAGACTTCTGTGCTTCCTGGACTGAGGAGGCCCACTGAGAACTCACCATACCTCATCCTTTTCCTCTCTGAGATTCACACGGGCCCTGTCACAGCCCTCCACGTGCTGCCTGAGTTGCTGGTGACAGCTTCAAAGGACAGAGATGTTAAACTGTGGGAGAGACCCAGTATGCAGCTGGTAAGTGTGTGTGTGTGTGTGTGTGTAAGGAGGGCTGAAGGGATGTCATAGAGCAAACGTCGGGAAAGTAAAAAAGGGGAAAAGATACAAAATTCTTGTTTTCTTCTAGTGTGTGTAAGGAGGGCTGAAGGGATGTCATAGAGCAAACTCGGGATAAAAAAGGGGAAAAGATCAAAATTCTGTTTTCTTCTATCCTTCTGGCAGTAGTGTGCAACTAACACCTGTTTCTAAACAAAAGTTGTTAGCGCAAAGAGAAAAACAAGTTAGTAAGAATGCGCCAGGTTTGGAGCCCTCACCTCCCGTTTTTGTTCCCATTGTAGCTGGGCCTGTTCCGATGCGAAGGGGCAGTGAGCTGCGTGGAGCCTTGGCTGGGTCCTAACTCTGCCCTGCAGCTCGTGGTGGGAGACACACAGGGCAACGTATACTTTCTGTCCTGGGAATGAAGACGTACTACTCAGGGCAAAGAGACCACTTGTGCTAGAGATGCAAAGCCGGAAGACGCCAGTGGCTACTTTCTTTCTCCGATTATATAAAATAAAGTGTCAGAAAACCTCAAGTGCAGTCCTGCCTGTGTTCTCCTGTGGATTTGGACCAAGAAGGAAGACTATGGATGTTCTGATGTTTCTTTCTGATGTAACGTTAATCTTTCCTAGAACTGCAAGAAAGTGAACCAGATCTTTAATAGATATTCTTTGGATTCTGGTGTCATTTGCTGGCCCCAGTACCCTAAGATAACATTCCTACCAGGGGGAGGAATGAAAGTGATGTTGACCAGCACTTAGTTTGAATAGAGATTCGAAGACCTCTCACCTGTTCAAGAAAGAGGAAGAGAAGGAACAGTGGCTCAGCTGTGCCGCTGGTCAGGGCTGGAAAGAACCGGGTTAGAACTAGGACGATGCTAGGTTCCTCTCAAAGAACAGCCCCATCTGCCCGGAGCTACCTGCCTGGATGGGAGTGAGGAGCCAGGGCTCTGAAAGCACGGTGAGTCTTCTAGCTTTCCCAGCCTCTGACAGAGCAGCGGTGGCCACTTGACTTGCAAGCATGAATCAGTATGATAATTTGCATTCTGGGAAGAGATCACAAAGGGGTATGCCTCTCAAATTGATGTTCACAAAGATTAAACTGAGTTGAAAGGTGAAACAGTGCCCACACGTGGACTAACCATGGACTTTCAAAGTTCTGGAAACTTATTTTCCTATAGTTCTATTTTATGGGAGAGGAAGTTCCCTGAGGCCCTTTCTACAGGTTAAGGAAAGGCTAAGAGTCTTTTGTATCCAGGAGTTCAAGGACTTGTATATGATAAGCCAGAGCTATTACAGGATTTTTATCCTGGGTTAGTAGGGTTCTCTCAGAGAAACACCATTGCACTCTGGTCTAGAAATGAGTTTTCAGGATTCAGGGAGTTGAGAGGGTACTTAGTTTTGTTCTTACTTTGCCCTGATTCCAATTTTACATCGAGAAATCACCCAAAGGTCTTTACCTGATTTCTACCAATGCCTTGTATTCTCTCTCAGCCAGAGGATAAAGACGTAGGAATGACATCAGCTGATAAGTCTTAATGATAGTTCGTGCGTCTATCTTTTCTCATGTGCCTCATGCAAGGGCTCTAAATATACCTTCTAGACTACCTCCTCCACGTGTACCTTGTGACTAGAAGTTCAAGTTAAGGTAATTTGAAACTTATGATTCATAATACTATCCAGAATTGCTTCAGAGAATCTTGGCATAGCGTCATCCCAAAAGTCCCTGGTTTCAAACTTTTGCCTTTTGTTCCCCTGAAAGCACGGGCTGAGGACAGGAGGAAGCCCTCGATGTCTGTCTTCTGTGCTCTAAAAATTCTACAAAAGCACCCAGCTGCGGCCTTGTTGGTCAGGTCCACTTGAAGGGTCAGTTCTGTCTTTCTTATCTTGGAGATACACAGCGAGGTCATAGGATAATTGCTGTGAGTGAAGACAGGAACAGATTCTAGGTAACAGTAAATATGTACCCAAGGGAGTTGAAGAGAAAATCACTTTGGGTTTTTCCATGAAATGTTTTCTGAGTTCTTATCATTAAACAGAATCTCAGTGTCTCCCAGGGCCTGGACGAGTTCCACAATATAGCCACTGGACTGCAGGGTCAGCGGACATTAGAGCAGTCTTTTCTTCTCTTACTCATCTATCTACAAAAGCACATTTTCATAAGCCAAATTTTTCATTTTTAACATCTGTTTTTACACAGCTATCTGGCACAATCTGGTTTTGAAATCGAGAGCAGATCTGCTCACAGTTTGGTTTGTGGACTAGTGCCAGTCCAAACATTGTTAATGGTTTATTTTCCTAGTACTTCATTTTTATTATATTTGACAAAAGTATTGTTCAATGACAGGTCAGGAATTAAAACGAAGAAACAAACAACTGGTCCTTCATCTCCGAAGTTCTGAGAAGCACTACTCTAGAAAGACTGGGTTTAAAAAGTAGCTTGAAATCATGGACTTACATAACAAGACTGCTTCCCTTTCCCCATAATAAAGCAAGCATAATCATAGTTCTTATTTTGTGGGGATATTGTGAGGATTAAATGAGTTAAAATCAGTAAAACACTTAGAACAGTTGCAGACACTTCCATGGGGAATGTTCAGGAAGTGCTAGCTAGACTGTGCTTTTACTTACCCACTGGTGCAAGTGTCACCTGTTATTCTTTCTCAAAACTGTCTTGGGGGTGGAGGGTATAGCTCAAGTGGTAGAGCACATGCTTAGCATGCATGAGGTCCTGGGTTCAATCCCCAGTACCTCCTCTAAAAATAAATAAACCTAATTACCCCCCCCAGCTTTCCAAAATAAAATAATTAAATAATACAATAATAAAGGGATAAAAATAGAAAAAAAGTAAAATGTTAAAAAAAGTCTTGGTTATTAGTATACATTTATTCAGTCAGATGAAATATGGACTCAGTTCTTCAGTTTAAGAAATACATGTATGGGGAACTGTTAGAATTGAAAAAAAAAAACCCACCTGTTGGGTCTAGATCTTCTACCTGGAAATAAAACACATCACTTCCACTCATCTTATATATGTGAGCAAAGCAAGTCACATGGCTCTACCTAGTGTCAAAGAGGAGGGAAGTATCATCCTACTGTGTATCTGGAAGAAGAACCAGGAACCAGATGCACAGTTACATCCCCAAAGAACCTGTGTTGATGCTTTTGCAGTAGAGTGGCTCTTAATCCTTTCTTAAAAAAAAATAATTTAAGATCTACAGAGACTATCCCCACGTACCCTTCTCCACCCGGCTTCCTCTAATGATAACATCTTACAGAGCTGAGAACTTAACATTGGTACGGCATTATTAACTGCACATGTGATTCGGATATCCCCAGTTTTTCCACTAATACCTGTAGTTTGTTTCAGGGTCCAATGCAAGAATACCACACTGAATTTAATCATCATGGCTCCTTAGCCTAATCTTGCTACTGTGATACTTTCTCAGTCTTTCCATAACCTTGACATTTTTGAAGAGCACTGGTCAGGTGTTTTGTAGAATGTCCCTCAGTTTGGCTTTCTCTGCTGTTTCCTCATAAATAGACTGAAATTACGGATTTAAGGGAAGAATACAAGAGGTGATGTGCCCTTGTTACATCACGTCAAAGGCAGTGATGTCACCATCACTTATTACTAGTGATAACATTGATCACCTTTAAGGTTAAGGTGATGTCTGCCGGGTGACTACTATTCTTAACTGTACCTTTTCCATATTGTTTGTTAGAAGCAAGTCACTAAGTCTAGTCCACATTCACGGGGAAGGGGATTACACCTCCAAGAGGGAGAGGTATCAAAGAATTTGTGGCAATCACCACAATCATCGATACATTTCGAGGTAAGGTTTAGACTATGCAAATACACTGTTTCGTTGTTTTAGTATTCATCCATCAGTCCTGCCTGAGCAATTATTACTGTTACTTTCTAATGATGATTTTCTATTTCTTTCAACCCTTCTATATTAATTGAAATTCTTGTGAAAGAAATATTTATCCCTTCTTCCGCATTTATGTTTTGAATCAACACATACCAGTATGGACTCATGAATGTCTATTTTACTCTGTGGGAGCCTGTTGCATTTTAAATACTCAAACATCATAGTATGTATATTTCAATGCACCTTTTTTGACCACTATTTATATAGGAAAAATATATATCACAGAAATTCAGTAAAACATTTTAAATTGAGATACAATTCATTTTCACCCTGTGGTTTTTAGTGGTCCAGTGGTTTTCAGTATATTCTAACACTGCAGCCATCACCACTAATTCCAGAACGTCTTCATCATCCCCAAAGGAAAACATTGCACCCATTAGCAATCACACCCCACTCACCCTTTCCTCTAGCCACTGGCAATCGCTAATCTACTTTTTGTCTTTATAGATTTGCCTATTCAAGACATTTCCTATAAATGGAATTATACAATATTTGTGGCTTCTTTCACTTAGCATGTTTTCAAGGTTCATCCATTTGTAGCACGTACCAATACTTTATTCCATTTTAAAATAGTAAATAATACAATAATAAATAATAGTACAATATAACAATAAATAATACAATATTCCATTGTTTATAAATTCCATTCCATTGTTATATAAATAATACAATATTCCATTGTTTATCCATTCATCAGTTGATGGACATTCTGGTTGTCTCTACTTTTTTTTTTCTACTTTTTGTAAATTATACATAACGTTGCTCTCAACATTCATGTGCAAGTTTTTGTGTAAACATTTCTTTTCAGTTCTCTTCGTTATATACCTAGGAGTGGAATTGGTAGGTCACATTGTACCTCTATGTTTAACTGTTTGAGGAACTGCCAAACTGTTCTCCAAAGAATCGGCACCATTTTATGTTCTTACCAGTAACATGTGAGGCTTCTAATTTGTCCACATCTTCACCACCACTTGTTCATCTTTTTTTGTAGCCCTGCTAGTATTTGTCAAGTGGTATCTCATTGTGTTTTTTTCCTTAATATTTAATGATGTTGAGGATCTTTTCATGTGCTTATTATTGGGCATTTATATTTTTTTAGAAATGTCTATTCTTTGGTTTTTAACTGGGTTATTTGTCTTTATTATTGAATTGTAAGAGTTCTTGGTTTATTCTGGATACTAGATCTTCATCAGATTATGACTTGTATATATTTTCTCTCATTCTGTAAGTTGCTTTTTTTTTTTTTAAGAAAGTAAAGTGAGGATTTTTTAAGGGAAAGACAGTACACTCTCAAGGAGAGAGTGGGCAGGCTCAGGGGAGCAGGTGCCTCTTTTTACTTTCTTGATAGTATCCTTTTATGAACAAAAGTTTTGAATTTTGATGAAGAATAATTCATTATTTTCTTTGGTTGATTGTGCTGTTGGTGTCACATTTCAGAAACTATTGCTGGGCCAAAGGTCACAAAGATTTCCACCTGTTTTCTGAGAGTTTTATAGTTTTAGCTCTTACATTTAGGTCTTTGACACATTTTAATTTTTGCATATATTGTGAGGTAGTCTTCCAAGTTGATTACTTTGCACATGGATATCCAAGTTGTCTTGGCACCATTTATTGAGAAAACTATCCTTTCCCCCTCTTAATAGTCCTGGCATCCTTGTTGAAATCAGTTGACCATAGATACATGTGTTTATTTCAGGACTCTCAGTTTTATTGATCTGTATGTCATCTTTATGCCAGTACCACACTATCTTGATCACTACAGCTTTGTAGTAAGTTTTGGAATGAGAAAGTATGAGTACTCCAACTTTTTCTTTTTCAAGATTGTTTTGGCTATTCAAGATCGCTTTGCAATCCCATATGAATTTTAGGTTTGTCTTATCCACTTGTGCAAAACAGGCTGTTACACAGATTGTCTTTTCACTTATTTGAATCTTCTTAAATTTCTTTTAACAATGTATTATAGTTTTCAGTGTACAAGTTTTGTGACTTAGTTAAATCCACTAATTATTTTTTGATCCTATTATAAAGGGAATTGTTTTATAATTTTCTTTTCAGATTATTCATTGCTAGCGTACAGCGATACAATTGATTTTTGTATGTTGATTAGGTTAAAGGTCCCTTCCATTCTTCATTTGTTGAATGTTTATCGTGAAAGGGTACTGAATTTTGTCAAATGCTTTTTCTGCATCCAATGAGATGGTCTTGTGATCTTTGTCCTACATTGGTTGGCTGTCATGTGTTGAACCTTGGATTTCTGCAGTAAATCTCACTTGGTCATGGTGTAGAATCCGTTTTATAGTTTGCTGGTTTAGGCTTAGTAGTATTTTTTTACATCTACATTCTTAAGGGATACTGGGGTATAGTTTTCTTTTCTTGTGGTATCTTTATCTAGTTTTAGTTCTATACTGCTTTATAGGATGAGTTGGGAAGTATTCCCTTCGCTTTCTG